GCGCGGGCCATTTAGCAGACGCAACTAGACCCGCCACGGCCCATAAAATCGCAGCGTCAGACGGCTACTTCCGGTGCAGTTCACTGGTGGAACCAAAATTGAACACTCCATTCAGAACCGAAAATCTTGCGGTGAGCTCGATTTACCCAGCAGGAAGGCTAGTGGGCCCATTATAGATAGTTATAGATTTCGGGAGATAAGGTGTCCATTTACCGCAGGTACCATCGCAACCGAATCCCATGAGTATCCCATGTTGCGACAGTGATCAAAGGGGACCAGGGTTAGATGATATGGATCTGGATTGGGACTTACATATTGCTGAACACGCTTTCCGCGTTTGCCGTTAGTACAAGCCAGTTCGAGCGTGTTACCCGTTCGCAGACGCGTCAAAATTAAGTCAGGCTGAGTTCACTTACGGCCGTCCTCCGTATAGGTGAAGGACGGCATTGACACATGCTTGATGTCTGCTGTGAGCTCCGAAGCGGCCCAGGAAGGAAATAAATCACCCGAGAGCTGGGGGCTCCACTTGGAAAGCTGCGGATTGCAAAATATTCGTAAAGCAAACTTCCATGATGTATTCAATAAATGTCAGATGGTTCAGCGTTATTTCCGGGGGCAGTTTCTGCGGCTCAAGGCGAGAGATATATAAAGGGCCCTGAAGCGCACAGCAAACCTGCCACCGTTGTCCCACATTTTTTCTCTGGCTCCTCACAGGTACAGCCGTTCATCTTCTGGATATATTCCCGCTGCACACCGCCTACAGAATTGTGGCAGGGTCCTTCAGACACTGTCGCGGAAGCAGGTGCTCACCAATGCGCCGGCGTCAGCAATGGTGGTCCCGGAAAACAGTGTGTTGCTCGCCCCGGGCAGCGCCCGGTCGGCAACACCCTCAGGGCGATCTTCTTCGAGAATGAGTTCAACTCGGCCGTGGACAAGGTGCTTGCTCCTCTTACTCCGTCTCGCGTGGTCTGTGTGCACTTACGACAAACGCGCGCAGATGTTGCCGTACACTCGAGGATTGTGCGGCCTGTGGCAGGGATCTGGATCTGGGCACTGCCTGGAGTGCACGCGCGAAGGGCCGTGTCACCCAAATCCAATTGACGACTATGGAGAGCTTGGAGAACATGTTTATAGTGGCTTGTTAGAGAGCTTGAACTACAGAGGGATGTGTTCGAGTACTTATAACCTGCTTTTTTTCTCAGTCTTTTTATTGATGCAAATCAGCTCACACGAAGTGCAGCGACGCAGCGCTCCTGCGAACTATGGGTCGCGGGGAAGAGATATTCAATTGAGAGCCCGTTCGATTTGGGGGCGGGCCATGATGCTGTGATTGTGTCAACCGGAGCGGACGGCAAGTGAACTATGTAAAAGGAATGAATAAATATTGGTGCGCAGCGAAGAGGGAAGCGCTGCCTGCGCTTGAGCGCCTCTGCAAGCTCTAACGGCAGAGAGTATCTGAGGCAGAGCACCTATTGACGCCGGAGCGCACCTGCGAACTATTCTCATTCTTGTCCAACATTTCAGCGGGATTCGGGGGCAGGGTGAGAGAGTTCAACATTTTTTTTTCCGAGTCGCATCGGTGGGTGTGCGTTGATTTGGAGATTTTGATCCAAAGAACCCAATAAAATTGAAACGATGTGATATAGATACAAGCAGCCCCGCCATCTATGGAGGAGGATATTATACAAATACATACAGATTATCGGTGGGTAAGCTAAGGAGAGGTTCGTTGTAGTTCGTTTTAATTCGTTCTCGTTTGCTCGTCAAGGCGGAAGTTCAGTCAGCGCGACGCCAGCTCCCAGCGTCGGCGGCGGCGGCGCGCGCGGGTCTGCGCCAGGAGGCGGCGGGCTTACGTGCCGTCGTGCCCACGCGCGAGGGGCTTGTAGGGGCGGGGCGCATCGGCGTCGGCGTCGTCGTCAACATCGGTGCCGAACTGGAGTTGAATAAAGGAGAGGCGTCGAGTGCAGGAGAGGGGCGGGCGCTAAGCATGACGCCGCCGCTGACGACGTGCGTCGCGCCGCCCGCGTAGAGGAAGCGCTTCACGTCGGCTTTCGTGCGCAACACGGGGTACGTGGCCAACTCCGAGACTGAGGGCGCGGAGCTGAAGGAGGACGCAGAGGAGCCAGAGTCGGAATGCGTGTCAAAGTCCGAGCTGTATTCGGACTCGAAGTCCGAGTCCGAGTCCGAGTCCGAGTCGGACTCCGGCTCCAAGTCAGAGGCATAGGTGCACGAAGAGAGGAGAGTGGGCACGCGCGTCGGGTGCAGCGCTGCGCCCCTTCTTTCCCTTGTAGTAGTCCCCGAAACTCCCAACATCACCCGGCGCGGTGCGGGCGCCTCCGCCGCGGCAGCCCAGAGCACGCGCCTTGGCATCCTTCCGAGCTTCACCGCAATCGCGCCCTGGGAGACGAATAGAGTAAGATCGAGCCCCGCGGCGAGCAGGCGTGCCCACGCGGCCCAGCGCACGCCCGTGAGGAGGCACGCGGCCTGCAGCGGCGCGGGGGGCGGGCAGCGCGGGGAGAGGTGGAGGGTGGCCTCGGATTGGGAGATACAGGGAGCCAGCGCGTTGTGCAGGTAGCCCTGGAGCGCCGACACCGTCGCGGGGGCGTACGCGCGCGCGAGGGGGCGCGTGAGGAACGCGGCGAGGGGCGCGAGCGTGGCCGGCGTAGAGGTGAAGGTGGTTTGGGCCATCATTAAGTTTTCGTTTGTGGATTCGTTTGTAGATTCGTTTTCGTTGGGCAGAGGTGATTAGCAGAAAATTGATCCACCGGGAATCGGAGAAAACAGATATTAAAAGCTAGCGGCGCGGTCCGTCAGCACTTTTATATACTCCATCCAACGGAACTCCGCGACGCACCAAATTCGTAAAAGAAGAATCAAATAAAGTCGTATCGGTCGGCGTGCGTGAACGAGGGGAAGGAAGGGAAAGGCAGCAGCGAGGTAGCGTGAACTTGAAGATCGAAGTCTAGAGACGAGAATGCGATGAAACGGAATGCGAGGAGAACAGTGGAAAGCCGGGGAGCTTGGGCCTCCGGTGACAAAACGCCCCCTCTTATAATACCGCGAGACAATGAAGCTATTATGCCTTTGTTTTTTGCCGGTGTCAAAAGAACAAGAAAAACGTGGTCTTGTTTTGCCGCCGTGATAGGCGGTGAGCACGTGAGTGTGACATGCGTGACTCGGGGTTTCAACTTCAACCAAGGATTCGGGAAGCCCGCATTTCCGAACCTGGATGAGGCGCCAGTGAAGAGAAACAACTGCTCGCTTGTAAAATACTATTTGATACGCTACAGGAGCTCCCCGGGCCGAACCCGACCGATAATATTTTTTCTATGCAGTGATCAATTCACCAGCGACTCGTAAAGTAGAACCCGCTGCTCATATATCGCACATAAGGCAGGCTACCCTCGTAGTAATTAACCCGGTTAGCGAGCGGTATCGCGCCCTCACACCCTGAATAGAGCAGGATGAGGCGTATCAGAGGGACCCCTGGTTCGACCAAGGTTCAACTCCAGGCTCGGGAATGAAAACGTCTGGGAAGTTTTTTTGTTTGTTTGGAAGTTGTTTATTGATTTTAGCGACGATGAGACTAATTCCTCCTTGTCTTCTTACCACTTACATCTCTGTGGCTGACGAACCTCGGCATAAGAAAGCTACAGGTGCCAGTGCGAAGGTTCAGGTGTGCTGAAATATTCACCTGCGACATCTACCGTAAATCCTAGTGCTCAGATTTCGCACGTAAGAGGCTTCCTTTCACCAGATTTAAGACCGAGGGGAAAAGGGTATCTGACCCACAACCATTCGGAAGGAGCCACGATCCCATCAGAGGGAACCTGTGATTCAAATCCAGGCTCGGTCATACCATGGCCATCAGGTAGGCTTTTTTCGTCGCCCCCGCTAATACTAGACTCGTTACCAGTCTGCCTACGAATGGCAAAAAGTGTGGCAAGCACTTTGCCGTAGGCAGACTGGTACAACTCGGAACGATCAATTGGGCTGAGCCCGGAGTTTGAATTTTTCTTGTGACCCACGCCCTGGCCTCAAATTTGATTATTATCATTTTCTCAAAGTTGAGGACTTCATTGTAGGAGTTATATCCTGACTTCTGTCTCTTCAGAATTTTAATGTATAAGCTCCAGGGGCCACAGCGTCGACCTCAGTTTGATTGATAAACTCCCTATCGGACCGAGCTCCGGTGATCGGCGTGATCGGCACCACCCAAAATTTGAAACTCCGGGCCCAGGTCGATTGTTTGTTCCGAGTTGTACCAGTCTGCCTACGGCAAAGAGCTCGCCTCATTTTTTTGCTCCTCGTAGGCAGACTGGTCACGAGTCTACGCTAATACTATGCAAACACACCTGGATACGTTAAGCTGCGCTCACCGGATTCAGCTACGGTGGTCTGAACAGGGTTTTCTGTGTGCTTACTATCTTCATCCCCAGGCCCGCCCAAGAAGAACTCCATGTCTGAAGGATCTTTAGCTGGAAATGAGACCGAGTGGCAAAAGGCCTTGCACCTTCACTCATGTTTGCCATTTCAATGTTTCGACTCCAGGCTTGGGCATTGATCAGTGCTTTGAGCTTTTATCATCCACGCCCAGCTCGCAGATGTCCTTTACACTGGTGGAAGATTTCGAGTTTTTGAGTGAAAATTGGTGAAAATTAGTTTGGGTTTTACACAAGTTTCTTGCCGAAAATATAGGTGAAAAACTCAAGAGTTTTTCAGCAGTTTTCCTTTTTATTTCGAAAATTTCATCTAAAGTTGGAAAACTTTTGAAAATGATTCAAGTTTTTCACCTACATTTTTGGCAAAAAACTTCTGTAAAACTCAAAATATTTTTCACCAATTTTTTCACTGAAAAACTTGAAATCTTCCACCAGTGTTATGTGGATTGGAATCGCACCGGGGTACATCCTTGCGTTCTACGGGGTCCACCGCTCCGGTGCCTCGAATCTCGGCTCCAGAATAATCCCATGTGTGAGGGATCAAGGTTAGAGAAATCAGACCGGGTGGCGAAAGGATTCGCACCCTTAAGTACTAAAGTCGAAAGAAGCGCATGTATCGGAGGGGGTTCCTGGTTCGACTCCAGGCTCGGTCATAAGTCTTCCCAGTAGATTTTATTTTTGTGACCCCCAACCGCACAGATGTCGCTGTATGTATTTCTTCTTCTGCGCGCGTTGCCTTGGACGCAGGATCAACCACGAGCGGCTTTTGAGGACAATTCAGGGCCTTGGGGATGTAATCTGACGTGGTACATTCACCTCTTTCGGTTGGTGGACTGCCGTCGAGTGGATCACAGTGGTTGGATGTCTCAACATCGCTGTTTGCCAGCAAAAGCGCGCCTTGTCACGCCGTGGAACATTCATGCGATGTAACGATGGCATACCGGTTGAAAATCATTTGGGGGGCTCCATGCAGTGCAGTGAGTATGGGTCTTTGGAGCCGGACGACATCGAGGTTATTTCTTTCGTTCTTTCCAACACATTATCTGGTCGCTCTCGCTAGTAAATGTACATGCCTTCTGTCGCTGCCGCCAACTGACACATTTTAAACGAGAATTACTGCTTGTTTGAAGTTCGACGCTTTGAAATGGGCAGATTTTCCCAGAATTCATTTGTTTCGACCCAGCTTGTTAAATTAAATTAGGGAGCACAATTCCTGAATCGGAAAATTATGTCGCTGTGAAGGTGAGGATGGGTTTTTGATGCGAGCGATGTCACTTTCTCAATGCACATGTTTCGTGCGATGCTGTAATAAGCATGAGCGGTAAAAATTTGTCCGGTAATGACGTCGAGATAACTAACAGTCCGTGCCCATCAGATCTCATCTCATTACTGTCAAGAAATGTTTTGGACCAGCATACCGCTGGGCTTGGCGAGATGTTTCGCGCTTGTCAGCTGACGACACAACAGCGCACTTCCTCCGCGCATTGAATTGTACGTCAGCATGACGTTTAACCGCCGCCTGGGGTTACTGATTGCGGCGCTCTGTCCCCACCGGAGCGTTCATTCTGTGGAAGACTGTTTTATAACACACGTTGCCCCGGATTTGCGGTACAGAGTGAATGTTAGGTGCCTCTGCGTCATATCAGCCAGCCAGCTCATCGCGACTTCGGCATGAATAGAACACAAATTACTTTGAATCGCGGCAAGGAACCATAAAAGTCTTCCTGTCATGAACATCGTGACGGCAGTACTACCCCTAAATGAGGAAATACATAGCTCCACAGATCACGTCGTGCAAATCAACACCCGACGTGACATGGGAGAAATATCGTTGAAATGGTTTACATTGGCAGTGTTTCCGCCCCACTCTGTCAATGCAATGTGCAACAGCTCCACTTCTCCATTGTTCGCGACCGCGGTCAACTTCGGTCCTAGTACTATGGGGCCCCGAAATCCTCTGGAATCGCGGGAAAATGTGGCAGAGCACAGTATAAAAGCAGCACAACTCTACTCCTAATGCTCACTCGAACACATCCCTCCGTCGTTCAAACTCTGTAAACAATGTTCTCCAAACTCTCTGTCGTTGTCACTTCGGTGCTCATTGTACGCCACGATTCATATTTCGGGTCTCCATTGTACTGATCAATTATTTGCGAAGACCCTTGCTGCCGCCATCCCGACCACCACGCCCCCGGTGACAACCCCGAGCTCGAACCAGTGCTGCACCAGCGTCCAGTCGTCGAACAGCGACGCCGTCTCCGCGGTCGCCGCCCTCCTCGGCCTCAACCTCAGCGGCCTCGGTGTCCCCATCGGTCTGGGCTGCAGCCCCATCACTGTCATCGGCAACAACTGGTTAGTACTAGCAATATCCGGAACCAATGCGGAGCTGACGCGCACTGCCAGCGGTGGAACCTCGGTCACCTGCGACGCGCCCGAGAAGCAGTGGGGCAGCCTCATCGCCATTAACTGCATCCCCATCACTCTCTAAGTGATGGGATCTGTTGAAGGGTGGAAGGGAAATCTCGGAGCTGATATTGAGAGGTTTCTGTCGTGGTCTGTTTTTATTTCTACGTTCCGGCGATGTATCGTGTTAAATGTCGCGAATACCACGTCTTTTGTTACCTCTTTCCGCCTTGCTGAGATACCGTCAAAAGACTTGGAAGGCTGCGGATTGCGAAAAATTCCGCCGCCTTACAGCATTGTGTATTGAATAAAATGTCAGATGGTTCAATGCTATTTCCGGGAAACAGTTTCGGCGGCTCCGATTCAAGCCTATTGGTATATAAAGGCTCGAAAGTACAGGTTACCCTTACATTGGATGATACAACCGCAGGTTACTGATTGATTTCTTTTTAGGCTCCACCTACTCCCGCTTTTGATAGACGTTCTGATAGCGAATAGCTCGTCAAGTCGGAGGGTTGGAGTCCAAAACGAAGGCGCGAGAAGCTTGTGCGTGCTGTGAAAATTTTGGGAACACAGTGTTCGGTGTTGGGACCATGCTGTGTATAAAATTACTACTACTACTACTACTACTAAAGGGCAAGCCTGCCACCGTCGTGCCACATTCCTTCTTCGCCTACTCGCAGGTACAGCCACCCCTCTCTGGATATGTCATTTATTCACAGATCCTACAGCACGCATTCGGCGAGGCCCGAGGTGCTCGCAAGTTCGCCGGCGCCAGAAACGGTGGCTAACAATCCTGCTGTTGGACTCGGAGCGCCTCCTGGGTGCGGTGCCCAGACAGCAACATCTTCACGGGCGCGCACATCGGGTAGTTCGTTTAAGGAGGACATCAACTACGCCGTCGACAAGGTATGCTTGCTCCTCCTGCTCCGTGTCGCGTGGTCGGCATGACCCTCACGATGAGCTCGCGCAGATGTTTGTGAGTCGCCTGGCATAGCGGTAGCAGGAATCTAGATACAGGCGCTGCCTTGAAGATCTTTGGCGAGGGGACATGTAGTCTCTCGTAGACAGACGCTTCAACGCGAAGCTCGTGCCTCGCTTGTTGAAGTCTGTTGGCTATCAGGGGGGTCCGATCGGACTTCCAGCTTATTACCAATCTTTTGGCGGGCGAATTGCAATGATTACCAATCTTTTATCAATCGTTTGGCAAATACTCATAAAGTGACCATCAAGCTTTTTGAACAGCTTAACATCTCGGCCAATTTGCAAAATTCTGAAGAGACAGAACTCTTCCGAGCAGGGTAAAGTATGACTTTGCATCTTTGCCCGTTACAAATACATGATCCCCAGTGCTGCAGAGTTGATTGGTAATAAGCGGAAACCCCGATCGGACCCCCTTTGTAACAACAGGACTAGGGGACATGGGGCTCAAATCTGAGTGACGATGATGGGGAGCTTGGAGAGCATGTTTAGCGTGGCTTGTTGAAGAGCTTGAACGACAGGGATGTGTTCGAGTACTTACAACCCTCTTCTTTTCTCTGTCTTTTCGACGCAGCTCAGGTCCCTCTGACATAGTCCCACCACATGCAAAAAAATATACTCTTGCGGTGTCCGCTACCTCAGCCACTACGCACCGACGACCAAGTCGGCGCCGCATTTATCAGTGACTCTTCGGTTGGCGTGCAGGTCAAATTTATTGCAGGCTTTGCCGCCGGCGCCAGCCGTAAAATGCAGTCGGCTAGAGTGTACTTGGTTAGGGTGAAATAGACTCAAAATTAATATTGGAATCGCATCATGGCGCGGCGACATCAAGGGTCGGTCATTGCGTTTCGGAACTTTCCTGGGTCATCGGCAGACTCTGCCCACCAAGTTAACTGTGCCGGTACCGAACTACGAGAATTCAGCCAAGGCAGCAGGGCCTGCCAGGCTCTGTTTCCGGATCTCTGGCCGGCAGGAATTATATGTTCGGCTGCAACGTGGAATGATGCGAATAGATCCCACCATTGGCCGCGTCCTTGGTTTATTCGTTAATGACGGCGTAAATCTATGGCACTGAGAGGACTTTGCGGAAAAACAGACACCAAACACCAAACATCATAACTTCAATCGAGAACTCGCTACAAAACGCTTCATACAGACAAAACTACAAGTCCATTCCGACCGTGATCGCCAAACATTCCGAGAACCTTCGCCGACTCAAAGAGTGATCGGGATGCAGTTGATAGCAATAAGGCTGCCGAATTCCTTCTCGGGGGCGTCGCAGGTGACTTCAGTTCCACCGCTACGCAATGCGCGTCAGCTTCTTTGTTGCGGACATTCGGAGTACTAACCAGTTGTTGCCGATGACGGTGATGGGGCTGCAGCCCAACCCGATGGGGACGTTGAGGCCGCTGAGGTTGAGGCCGAGGAGGGCGGCGACCGCGGCGACGGCGCTGCTGCTGGACGATTGGACGCTCGAGCAGCACTGGTTCGAGGTCGGGGGCGTCACCGGGGGCGTGTTGGGGATAGCGGCAGCAAGGGTCTAAACGGATGCATAAATGAGTCTGTCCGTACAAGACTACAAACCAAGGCCCACGATGAGCGCCGAAGTGACGACGATAGAGAGCTTAGGGAACATTTTTGAAGTCTTGGTAAAGAGCTTGAACTGCAGAGGGCGGAGTTCGAGTGAGGAGTTGGGGGGAGATGGGCACACCTTTTATACATTCGGCCGGACACAGATTTGGCGGTGGGGCACTAGGAACAAGCAGAAGAGGCATGTTCGTGAACTGTGGAGCTACCCAGACCTTCGGTGCGCCGCTGAAGATGACTTGGTGGCCATACGAATGGTTTGCCAGGGGCGTGAAACGGATCCCGAATATCAAGAAGAGTGGAGCGGTGCGCTATTATAACAGGAGAAAACGTGAGATTGTCAAATATAAATTGACTAGCATAGACGGCATGAGTCAAATCCGATGGATTCAGGGGCCAGATGCTGTCAAAGTGGCAATTGAGTGGCGATTTGGAACTTGTCTCGAGTCTTCGGACCGCGTCTAAAACCCGAAGTGATGTCTTAATGATGTCTAAACTTTGCTAGGAAGAACAGCTTGAGCGGATATAAAGCTGGTGCGGGTCACGCTGGTGTCTTGACGATCAATATCACCTCGCAGCACCCAAACTCTTCAGGGATCGGAGGGCGCTCCGAATTTCCGGCGTTATACTGTAAAAGATCAGTCGAGTTTAATTTAGTACCACACCTAGAAGCAGAAACCTC